TGTTGTATTATGTGTTATTGCAAAAATTAGTATATACAGTATATAAATATGCATTCTTGAATCATTCTTGAGTCTTGTGTCTTGCCTCTCTACAAACTTTTAAATATCTGGCTGTAATTTAGTGAATGCAAATGCTGATTTCATTTGATTCAATCTTTATTATACCTGATAATGAGCTAGTTAAACTTAAGGGGGCTAATCAATTTACAGTATATTTCAAGAAACTAAGACTTAAGGTACTCCACTTTTTCAGTTGTTTAAAGACTGAAATACATTTTTCATTTATATTTTAAGTGTAAATTCATTTAAATTTAAAATTGTTAACTCAAAGCAGGTATTACACACTTTGTAATTAACATCTGATGCATTTATAAATCAAAAATCACAATTGAAATAAAAAAAAAATGTTCCTGAGATTCAATATCTTTAACAACATGTACAAACATTACTACAAACTAACCACCAGGGTCCTAGAAATGCGGCACTGAAACTGCAGCCTCCGCTATATTATCCAATTCGGTAGGTGGCGCTGTTACAAAAGAATAGGGTACGGTGGCCGAGAAGTCAGCCTGGGCAAACAGTTCTCAGCGCATTCATGACTGTTTGGAGCACGAACTTCCTCTGTCGCATAATGACGTAAGCATGGGTGCATACTCACACATAAGCTGACACTGTTTGTTTACAGCAGAGAGTGAGGACTCATGCAGATCTTCATCAGCAGTACCAACGTCTAAATCTCACAATGTACAAGTTACAATGGCTGATGATTTCGATGTGAAAGAGGATTACATGGAATTTTATAAATAGGCCTACTTTTTCCAACCAGAGTACGCTGACCAAGAACTGAGAGAGATGACCAAGAACACACGTGAGCTGATGCTGTATGTATACAGTGGAGAGTGAGAAATCTGTGATCTCAGTTCTTACACGATTCCTAATTGTAATTGTTCTTAGTCATCTCTCTCAGTACATGCGCAGGTATATTTATATACATCTCATGTTTTACAAACAGGTCAGTGAATATTTACTAAATATTTACTAAGCAATAATATTTATTTGGCATATTTGTCAGCTTTTTTTTTTTTGATATGTTATCAAAAATAACATTGTTTTTGATTGTTAATGCATTGCCAGAAGGATATGTTCATCCTGGTTTGACATGCCAATGAAATATCTCAGACAGAATCAGCTATATATATATCTATATACAGTGGGTACGGAAAGTATTCAGACCCCCTTAAATTTTTCACTCTTTGTTATATTGCAGCCATTTGCTAAAATCATTTAAGTTAATTTTTTTTCCTCATTAATGTACACACAGCACCCCATATATATAGAAAAACACAGAATTGTTGACATTTTTGCAAATTTATTAAAAAAGAAAAACTGAAAAATGCTCAGTATTTAGTAGAAGCACCCATTTGATCTAATACAGCCATGAGTCTTATTGGGAAAGATGCAACAAGTTTTTCACACATGGATTTGGGGATCCTCTGCCATTCCCTCTTGCAGATCCACTCCAGTTCTGTCAGGTTGGATGGTAAACGTTGGTGGAAAGCCATTTTTAGGTCTCTCCAGAGATGCTCAATTGGGTTTAAGTCAGGGCTCTGGCTGGGGGTCTGAATACTTTCCGTACCCACTGTATATATATATATACACACAAGTAATGTCTTTCAAACGTGCATGATCGAGTTCAGTGTTATGAAAGTTGCTTTTCAGAGTGATGTGAGTGTTATTTGACTGAGACTTTTCACTGATGTCCCAAAGCCATTTACAGAGCGCTGCACATTTGCTACTGATGTGAAAACATAAAGCAAGACAGTACTGTACGTGTCAAAGATCAGAAAAATTATTCCATTAAGCCTCTCGCTTCAAAGTGCGTGGTTGGGAGAGAAATACGAATGGCTTTCACCCACAAACATTCGCATGAATATTACATGATTTCCTGTTTATTGTGTGGAATTAACACAATGACTTCGGTGGTTTTGGCAGCTTGTGCGCGGCATACATTACCCTGCTTTCATTTAGCATACTAACAGATCTTCTATTAAAATTAATATGAATCCTATTCAGTTAGCTTAGCTCTAAGCTCATTTACCTGATAGAACCCATCATAAAACTTGAGTCCTATTAATCCATGGCAAACTGATGCCAAGTGCTAAATGCGGCTCACATGCATATAGAAAAGCCAGCAATATGCAGATACATTCGCAGGGATGAAGAGACACTGAATTTATGGAAAGCAGGCTGTTGTTTAGGACACGCCGGATTAGATGAGTGCCCTTGCTTTGTTTATGGGATTGCTTTGAGAACTGGCAGAGTCTCAGAGGTTTTGCAGAGATGCAACCCTTTATTAACAGTTAACCAGACTTCTGGACAACTGCTGAAACTGTACTGCATAATTATGCTGCCTTATTTCGGCCAGTTTTTAAAGTTAGGGTCACATTTACAGTCGTTTAGCCAAATTTTGTAGGGGAAATCCAGTCTTTCCAATGGGAATCCATGAGATAATTTTTGTATGCAGACGAAAAAGTTCCCCATGCAGATTTCGCTCATTTGATCACACAGATTCTCCACACTGACCTACAGAAAGCTGCTGGGTTTGAAAGTGACTTTAGGATGAGCTGTGCTTCGTGCAACGTATATATAGAGTCATGTGAAAAAGAAACCCTATTGAATTCAATGGTTTTTTGTATTAGGATATAATAAAAACACATGACATATCACCCCGTGCCATTATTTATTTTTAACAAAAACTAGGACAAAATGGAAAAGCCATGGGGGACAAACTAAGGACACCCTTACTGCTAACATATGAATTAAAAGGTTATTTAACGGTCAGGCACTGCTAATCAAAAACCTTTGATTAACTGATCATCAGCAAGTGTGAGCAGCTCTATAAAAGCAGAAGTTTTGGCAGTTTGCTGGTCTGGAAGCCTTCAGGTGTGTGTTAACACAATGCCAAAGAGGAAAGAAATCATCAATGATCTTAGAGAAGCAACTGTTGCTGCCATCAATCTGGGAAGAGTAATGCGGCCATTTCCAAACAATTTGAACTCCCAGGAAATTCACCCCATGATCAGACCGTACAATACTCTGAGAAACTGCTGACAACCCAAGAACTACACCTCAGACTCTACAGGCCTCAGTTAACATGCTAAATGATAAAGTTTGTGACAGTACCATTAGAAAAAGACAAGTATGGCATGTTTGGAAGGGTTGCCAGAAGTAAGTTTCTTCTCTCTAAAAAGAACAGGATAGCTTAGGTTTGCAAAGTTGCATCTAAACAAACCATAAGACTTCTAGAACAATGCCCTTTCAACCCAGGCTCACTGGAAATACGTGTTTGTGGCGACATTTCTGCAACGCGATATTACGTACCTTACTGCACATTTAGTGGCAGTTTCAAAGTGAAATGTCTAGTAAGTGGCGCTAAAACGGTGTTCAATACACGTCCATACACATATTGCAGGTACGTATTGCTGCACTTCAGAATTCAAATGTCCAGGGAGTGTCACTAAAAGGTTAATGCTCTATCGTGTTGGAAAATAACAAAACCCCTATACCAAACCCAACCCTAAACTTACCCAATAGTGTGAACGAATGCAAAAGTGATATAAAAATGCATTCGTTGATGTGACTGTGCTATTTTATCTTTTACACAGGTTTGAGCTGTTTTGTTGAACCGTAGTTTCACGGTATTCTTACCGGAGCACTTATCCTCTCATGTGCAGCTTCGTATCACGTGAGCTACCGAGCAAACCTGCTGCGTTAGAAAACGTCCATACATATGAAGCTCTATATGTGACATAAAAGTATCAGTAAATCTCACAGCAAGTTAAAAATCTTTTGAGGTCATAACACAATATTGTGCAAAGAATTGTGTGAAAATTAGGCTTTCTTAATCGAAACTCTGGTACTGTAAATCATACTTTGTGTGAAAATGAATAAAAATTGTCTGAGTTTTACTGCCTCTAGTATTCATTTCAACTGGAAACTGCAGCAAATCATATGTATACGTAAATTTTTTGCGGTTTTTTTTTTTTTTTAATGTAGGTAAAGGCACGTATTTCCAATGTAATTCCATATTTGCTATATGGAATTACATTTAAAATGGGTTTTTCAAGTATTTTTGGACAAACGTCCAGTTTAAGCCCCACTCACATCCAGTTTTATCCGAAGTGAAGTAAAACCATAAAAACGTCATTACATGAAATAAAATAAACATTAACTGATATAGGCTATATATATATATATATATATGTGTGTGTGTGTGTGTGTGCGTTTCAGCTAGTTGCCGAGGCAATATTTTCAATTGAAGTATTGAAATAAAATAAATTAAGATAATTTAACTAAAAATAAAATGAAAGCAGAAAAACTAAAAGATATAATCTAATTCGAAGTATTAACATAAACTCTAGTAGTATATCAGTGGTATGGAAATAACACTTATCCAAATATAGATACAAACAATTTTGCCATTGCTAAATTAAATACAGTATATATAGATATAATCATTGGCTTTGCTGCACAGCCCTGGTTACACAATGATTCAGGAGCCTTTCTTGAGATAAAAAAACTGCTAGAATCTGCACACAGAATGCAGGAGTCTCAAGATACTATTTGAAAGCTATTTTTAACTTGGACACAGTGTTTTAAAAACGCAGTGCTCATGCTGTGAGACTCATGAAATCAGTTGAATATTTCTCAATGTTAGTAGCCCAACAAAGGCACAATAACAGAAATAACCCCAGAAGCTTTGTATCAGTTTCAGCCTTTGTTTGTCACAGCGCCACCCTGCCACTAAACCACATAACATCGCATCATTTTTGGAGAGCAGTCGTGTTATTCATCCACGCTCTCCTGAATGCAAATCCGGTACTCAAACACTGAGGTGGTGGCTATGTAGGTCACTTCCTCCTCCTTGCAGGAAAAAGGAACTCCACACAGGAGTGAGAAACAGCACACATTCTTATTATAGCACACACTCACACACACACACAGCAGATAAAGCAGCTTCAGCCCATAAAGCAGGCTTATTAATTCTCAAATCATGGATCCAGTGGCTTAGATCGAGGTAATAAACTAGTGAGAGAGGAGGAGAGGAGCGACAGATATTTTCTACTCCAGAGGAAGGAGGGGGCT